TCATAATTCCGTCATAAAGAAACAAGATACAAGGGTTAATTAAAGCAATTGAATAAAAAGACCCAAAATCCACGAGAATAACTTATATAAAACATATTCACTGCTGTATTGTGACGTCTTGATATATGTAAGTTGCTTTCTAAACCCACAATAACAAAAAAACCTAAATAGCTCTCATCATGCATTAATAGGTCACAATCACTTATGCGTGTCCACGACTATTATTTCTCTTTTTGGTTTTTCACCCTACTTCCTTTCACACGTTTTGGGTGCCATTGTTGAATATTCTTGGGTTGTTTAAGAATCATTGTACAATTTTTGTTTGCCCTTGACTAAAAGGCTTGCATCTCACTTACCCATTCTCTCACATGTTCTATTGTTGCTACATTAACATCACTTGCATCTAATCACTATCAAAATCACTTGTGGGCATGCCTTTCCCATCATCATTCACACCATTTTGTTGCTCTCTTTTTACCACTTTTAAGTTGATTGTTAACAAAGTAAAAAACAAAGCATGCATCCATGCATGTCCTCACTCCGATTATCCAATCAAAATTTTTTTACAGATTCCTTGAAGGTTTTACTCTTACCCCTTTTTTTCGTTGGATACTGCAATATTTTAATCCAAAATTTTACAGCAAGATCCAGCTAAGCTGTGCTATACCAAGTAGCAATGATGGATGAACAACGAGTCAAAGACCCACCCACAAGAACTTAAGACAAGTATTGAGCTGACTCGGGTCGGGACCCACTAGGCCTACTCTGGGCTCGTCTACGAGAATTTTTTTTTATATTCTAACAGAAACACAAGTGGTGCACTATGTGTTTTAATAAAAGTGGTGGAGAATTTTATTTTTTAAGTTATTAACTTTTTAATACATGTATCCCACCATTTATATATTGACACGTGTACCACTCCATGTACCTATCACACTAAAAATCTCTCCATCCACGACATCAGCTACGAAGGCGACGCGGACGTGACGTGCTGAGCGGTGCTAAACCCGGGAAATCGGACGGACACGTGGTGGCGTCCTTAGCGCAACCGGCGGGCCCCGGAAGAAGGGCTGATGCGTTTGCGGGAGAGCTGGGCCAACGCGGGAAGGTGCATGGGGTTGCGCCCCCACTCCACGACCATCATCGGTGTTTTAGAAAGAATTGTGGGGCCCCTCAGTTGTAACTTACGTGCGCCCCTCTTACAAGTCCCTATCGCGGCTCATCACTAGGGACACAAAATAGAGGAGGTTTGAGGACATTATTGTTCGTGTATGCGAGGGAAAAGTCATCAATTTATGCTAGCAGTGATTAACGTTTACCGGATATACATACTTTTCAAACTGTTATACTTATTAATGAGTAATTTTTTGGTAAACAATCAATTAATGGGTATATTTGCTTGGTACATAGTATATGAAGATGGGATGAAGTTTTGGTGTTAGGACATGCGTCGTGCATATGTCTTTATAACTTCTTCAGTGCAATACAAGTTCTCAATGTAGTTATCGTATCAACTCTCAACCCATATAGATTTCCAGTAAATTGAGTTTTCACAAACGTAAAAATCGGACCATACTTGTCAATGTTCTCGATCATCTTCCAGAACCAACAAGTAGGGTAAATAAACTGATGAAGTCTGAAGAAAGATAGGCTGCCGAGTGGTGCATGCATATATAAAAAGTGAAAAAAATAAACTTTGATTTTAAGGTAGATCGATCCGATATGTTATCGGTATTGTACAACTAGACATTATATGGTGATTAGAAAATACTGAAGGTTGTGATCTGAGTGCACACTGTACAGGATAAAATAAAAAAGATTTGAAATTTTTGAGTTTTAAAAATAAGGATAAAATAAACTAATAAAAGGTAAAATGAATACTACCAATATTGATTTTTTAATATAAAAATATTAATTTTCGTTAAAATAAATAATGTCAGAAGCTGGAAGTTTTTCGTTAAAGTTCCCTATAATATAAACTAATTTAAATTTTTTATTAGGGTGGTGGTCGTAAAGGATCAAAGGGCCCCGGGCGGGTTCGTTGTCCCATCTATTTAAAACCATTTTTGGTAACATTAGGACTTTCAATAATTATACAAAAAGAAAGGAAGGATGGATGGTGACGATGACGAGCACGTGGCAGCTAGTTTCTGCTTCCTCCCGACATCCAACTTCTTGTGCAATGTTCACGTCCACATGCAGATATCCAGAAAATGTTATGAATTCATCAGAAGAATTATTGAAGTGAAGCTTGCGAAGGCCACCTGTCATCCAAGCAAATAAATCAACCTCTCACAGGCTTGTATCATCTTTTGCCAGGCTCGCAGGCAAGGTGCGCGCATTGTAGTAGAATTAGCCAAGTAGGTCCATGGTCGATTTAACCCCAACCCCAACTTGACTGTTTATAAATAGGGTTTGAGTCATTGGAGGATATATACTGCTACTATGCCAAGAATGAAATCCGATGATGATCACAAAGTTAAAAACCTTCCCACTTGTGTCTGGTTTTACCACCATCACCTTCAAACGATCATGGCACAACTTATTCACATGCACATGCAGCTCTACATGTGTTAAAAGTTTTATCGCAAGACTTGATATCTAGTTTGTGACCGTCTCTGCTTTGTTACAATATACCTACATGCATGTCATAAATTTGGCCTCTGGTTTGTGATCCTCTCTCCACTCTTAACGAGAGATTCTTTCTAGCAACTATTTCATAGTTATTTTGGCTTCACTTAGAGCGTCTTCAAAGGAGATGTCAAATTTTGAACATAAAATTTAAATTTGATAGCCTATATGGTATTTTGACATTTTTTAAAGTTTTATTGTCCACCCGATATGTCAAATTAAATTATTATTTTATTATATTATAAGATAAATGATTAAATTAATAAAAACTTAATAAAAGGTATTTAATTATTATGAAATTTGGACCGTTCATCATTTCTTTTTAACAAGAGGGGACCGTTCACTTACCTCGATTGAACAAAGGGGAAATGGGTTAACAACAACATTAATTGATATGATGATTAAACCAATAAAAAAATTAATAAAAAGCATTCATAATTATTTTTGAAACTGCTGTCAAATTTGACAGCAACTCTCTTGCTGTCAATCCATGTCATCGACACATAGGATTTGACATTTTGGTTGGAGAACATTAGTGTGTTCTTTTTTTACTGTTATATCTTATGTGAACATTTTAACATTTCCTTTAGAGATGCTCTTAGCCTATTATTATTTTCCATATGTTGAAAAAGTGATTCACTCATCCAATAGACTTGTCATATATTGAAATGGTTGCAAAAAAGAATCTCTTAAGTTATACCGTTTTCGATCTAGGTATATTACTTTTTCCCAATAAAACTATTGAAGGAATCAACACAAATTGCACAATGCACTCTTATATATGATGACTGCATAATTGAAAGTCATCGTCCTATATGGCTATATTGCAACGGTGTGGCCGGCGGCCGGTGGCCACAGAAAACAACCACCACAACAAAGTTGTTTCCCCTATAAAACAATATTTAGGTGCATGCACATGGTCTAAATTATTTATTTATCTATTTTCCTAGGATGAATGCACATGGACATGGTGCAAGTTAACATAACATAACCGAAGCAGCACCTGCGAGATCCTGCGTCCCACTTTCCACGACGGATTATCACATATTTATTCACAAAATCGGTTTAAGGATTTGATCATCTTTGCCTCGCACTGGACATGTAGCTAATGATCCTTAAGCTTGTTTTAATTTGTCAATAACAACTCGCACGTTGCCAATTAATCCCTATATTAACTTACAATTTTCCCACTTTTTAGTTACTAATTAAAAGGGATTTAAAAGAGTAGTGCTTTGTCACATGTTCTAGATAGTGTTGATATTTGGTTGATAATTCATAATATGAGTTAAATAACGATAATGCATCATATATTGTATGTTTGCGTGTCAGCCTTACTTAACTAAGATTTTAAATAGCAAGTAGTACTATGGTCTAAAAATATCATTCTCTTCATAAAAATCTTAATTGGTATTAAAACCGTCAATTTGTTCGACACATGAATTACCTAAACTTGAATGCTTTTGTGAAATAGTCTTTAAATTGTTATGTAAAATACAAACTCTTGCGGTCGTGACTAGCATATAATGAAGATTCGGCAATCCTAACTGGAATGCCACAGATTGTGCACCTAAGTATACCTGCTCTTTACCAATCACTCAACGTGAAGAATAAAAAAGCGAGGTGAAGGAATGAGGTTTCCTATACAATGGCCCAACAAAGGGAAAATGACAAAGGGCCTATATTATTCAAAGCCTAACATGCAAAACATATCACATCAAATGCTACATATCCAAAAGGCCCAAAACTGGAGAGAGCATGAGGAAATAGTGAAGCGCCAAATTCTGAAACTCAGTTACTTAAAGACGGCAAATCGCGTGCACATAACAGATTTTTCAATGTGATCGAAACAGAATAGTATAATAAATGTTATTATATAAATGATGGAATATGTGTATTAAAAAATTTCTTCGCCCACAGCTCGGGGACTCTGGTAGTGCAGAGGGCAGAGGGCGGAGGAGGACCTTGCCTTGACATGGGTTCCGCAAGTGCTGCTCTCACCCCCACTCCCCCTTCCTATATAATCACAACAGCTATTTTTTTTTCCAGCTTCAAGCAAATCTGCAAATGAAATGTAGTTTCTTTCCCGTTTCGAACACATCAGGCAAATGAAATACTTCAAGTTGATGTTTTCTTTACCAGGCGGTTTTCTATTTTAAACTATTCTAGTTACGAAACGGGAAGGGCTAACCCTAAGATCTAGGTGAGTCCTTGTTAGAAGGTCCTTCAATTCATAGGTCTTTCAATGCATAGTGATCATATAATTTGTATTTTTATTTATAATGTGTTTTTATCACAAATAATCTTTGAAATTAACCCTCACCATCAAGATGATTCATGAAATTGAAAATCAATCAATGTAGTCCTTGAAAATGTGTCACAAATCAACGTGGTCATTCCATCACAATTTTGTTAAAATTTTCATTAAGTGCTGATGTGATACATATATAGGTCTCATAAGTCTTTTTTTTTTTAATCACAATTGATCATTGAAATTGACCGTGACGTTAAATTGGTCTCTAAAATTGACCCACGACATCAAATTCTGTCAAAATTTTTATTATGTGCTGATATGACATATAAATGGATCACACAAGTCTAATTAAATTAAAAAAAAAATTACAAATAGGTTTAATAATTTAATAGTTAATAAAAAGTTGTCAACCCTAAAACACAGTCATGTAATCACCTCCGATCCCAGTCCACGTTCCTCTACCTCCTTCCCTGTCTATTCTCTAAAAAATAAAAAATAAAAAATCTCAATACACCCACCTTTGTAGACTTCGAAACCCTTCACCGAATTGAACCTGAGTCGAGATCACCTTTAGTGACGACTTGGCTGATTGGCAACGACTTCTGGGACATCACCGTTAACATTTAGGCGACTAACATCCTCACAACCTTAATTTTGGAAAGCTTGTTCGGCGCTTCCTTGATGGTCTAGTTGACACACCCCGTCCCGAAGGAGGGCATGCTGGCCGTCACGTGAGAGTGACGTAACCATTTACACAGTACGGAAGCTTTAAAGATACAATTTCTAAGATGAAACACCCAAAAGTGAGTCCTAATTTTTGTCCATTCTGTCAGAACACCGTTGGATTCCTCGTAGCCACCAAGCTCTGATATCTTAAACCTGGAGGGGCGCAAAACAAAGTTGAGTGGGTCAGTAAAACAAACTTATTCAAAACCTTCTTTTCTCTTTGAATATACTAACCCCTCGCCGTAAAACAAGTATACTTCCCAGAAAATAAACATATATACGTATGTATAGATATGCCAAACATGCTCAAGGGTATATCATTCATGCTCAAGAATATGCCATGTCGGAAACTCATAATGAAATGTAAGTGCTCAAGCATAACTCATATCAATAACATATAATCTGGCAGCCGGGAGTCACCTAACGTGACCTGTACGGCTGCATATAGAGCTCCAATCTCAACTCAATAACTGAATCTGCACACGAGTCGGAACCACCTAACGTGGTCTGTACGACAGGCTTGGTGTAATATATATACGCTCTAGTGCTACGATCACGTGAAGCTGTGCGATCAATCGCGGGTCACCTACGAGTCGGAACCACCTAATGTGGTATGTACGACAGGCTGTGCACCTAACTTGGATCCAAGCTGAGCGTGTGGTGCGGGAGGTGAACATCACGTGAAGGCTATGCCCTGGCCACGGGCGGGAGCACTAACACCGGGGGTGCAGATTATGAGCTCTCTAAGCATCTCAAGCTACTACTGAATACAAACATGAATACCACTTACCTGGCACTTACCTGTGCGTCCACAGCACCAAATACGCATATATAAATGTATGCCACTACTAATGCATGTGATGATAGTATTTCAATCGTATTCCAAACGTATTTCATACGTATATCAAATGTATTTAGTACGTATCTCAAATGTATTTCAAAGTATTTCAAATGTAGCTTACCTGGGCCTCCTCAGCACCATGCAACAGTATGCATAATTATGGTAATGCACATATTAAAATATGATGCATATATGACAGGATATTTAATTCGTATTTCTTTTAAAATACGTTTTCTGAGAAATACGTCAAGCATACGTATATATTTATATACTGAAAAATAACTGCCCACTCACTGATCACATCGACGTCTCGTGGGTCCCTGAGCCTCCCCTAGATTGGTTACATTCTTCTTCTGTATAATTTTCACCTATACAAAAAGTAACCAAATTATCGTTATTTAACGCGCATACACCAAACATTCATCAATAACTTTCTCATACGTTGCTCGATTTGAGTGTGTGAATATACCACGGTGATCTACACGACGTCACGAACGCGTGACAATTTTCAGAACTCAATTTGGAGGTCCCACGCGCCCCACGCGCCCAGTATACGCGCTGCCCACGCGCGCGTCTTCTTCCTCGCGTCGCCGGACTGGTTTCGCCGGAGGTGGGTGTTTTGCCGGAATTTCTGGGTAAACTTCAAAGTGTCATAACTTCTTCATTTCTTAACCATTTTCGACGTACTATATATCAAAATGAAGGTATTGACGATACGAACACATCCATACCTGCCTCGACCCCTAACTCGCCGTGGATTATCCGGAAAAAGCCTCGAAAGCTCCGGCCAACTTTGACCACAATGATCTCGACGTCCAAACTTCTCCAACGAAGTATTCCGAGGCTCCTTGGGACCTCACTAAGACATCTACAAGCTTAAAAATCCCAAAAACACGCTAGTTTAAGTTTGCATGAATGGTACCTAAATCGGACTACCTCGAATCGACATGAAAACGAAGGATTTCTCACCTGAAAATGGTATGGTTGTACTCGTACGAGCTTCACGAGTCCAAAAATGCCCTTGGTTCCTTCGATCCATCAAGGTTTGGGTGATGTGTGTGTTGTCCGTACGTTTTCAGAAGGAAGAAGAATGAATGGAGCTCGGGAGAGAGAGAGAGAGAAAAGAAACAGAGAAGAGACAGTGGGAGAGGGAATCCCGGGAGAGAATAAGAGTGTGTGTGTGTGACCCTACCATTGTCAACACCACACAAAACACACTAAACGTAAATATAACAAACTAGGGGTAAAAAGGTAAATTCACACGTACGTTTTTATAATCTCGGGACGGGATGTCACACTAGTGACTCAAAGAATGACGATGTCTCTCTTGAGATAATGAAATTAAATCCAAGGTGTGTCTGTTATTGGTTGAAAACTATTTCCAAATCGCATCTTAGGCCTTGGTTAAGCCTTATGCCTTTGAAAATTTATAGAAGAGATTTCTCTTCAGAGTAGGTCCTACTATAAGAAGAAAAAAATTCCATTGGCAAAAAGGTATTTAGACAACTTTTTAGATTAACTATTAAACCCACAAAAGCACATAATAAAAAATTTTACAAAATTGTGGCAGAATGATCATATTGATTTGCGACAATTATTTTCAAGAACTACATTCATCGATTTTCAACTTTAGGGACCGTCTTGATGGTGTAAGTCAATTTCAGGGAACATCTTTATGGTGTGATTCAATTTCAGGAACCATTCGTCATAAAAATTTGTAAATCTTGTGGGCCCATTTATGTGCCACATCAACACTTAACGAAAATTTTAACATAATTGTGACGGAATGACCACATTGATTTGAGACATCTATTTTAAGAGACTACATTGATTGATTTTCAATTTCAATGACCATTTTGATGGTGAATGTTAATTTCAGGGACAAGTTGTGATAAAAATCCATTTATAATTAATTCTTAAATATATTATCATATTGTCATTTATGAACATCTTTACCAGAACAAAAAAGTAACACATCAAACATAATATATCTACAACAATGAAATATAAATTCAAGTTTACCAACTTAAAAAAATTAAACTCATAGTTTGTTTATGCTTACCTTGAATTGCAAATATATTCGCCCCTTCACTAGTAATAGAGAGACCTAGAATTGAAAAAGAAAGAGGCCAAGAGGAAGTGAGAGAAAGAGAATTTCAAATGAATGATGGTGAAGGCTAGGGGTCATACTTTTTCGAGAAGAAGCTAAGCAAAAAATAATTACATGTGAAAGGCGATCCTTTTTGTTGTTAAGGGTTTGTCTTGATGAATAAAAGAAGATCAGGTTGGCATTGCAGATTCCTAAAATGGCATGGACCGCACTAAGTGTAAATGGTATGTGCTTATTTTTCAAAACGGAAAAATGAAATTAAAAACAATACATAAAATTGGGTCACATGCTGGAGTTCAAAACGTTAAACTTGAAGGAAGAAGCTTGCCCTAGTGATGGGGATAGGGGATTTTAACTCGGGCGCAAAGGGACGGCCCTGGGGACAGAGGATTTCGATTTGGGTGCAAGGGATCGGCTGTCAAACTGACCTAACCCACATTAATTTTGAGCATGAACACTGTGGCATTGTTAGTAGCTACAAAAGACAATCAGGATTGAATTTGCCTGATTTAAGTAACTCAAAAATGCCACTGGTATTTCGGTTCTTGTTAGAAAGTTGAATTATTCAACCTCTGTTAATTGCCAAGTCCCTTCGAAATGGCTACAAATCTTATGGTTTGTTAAATTATATTTTCCGGTCGCTGAGGAGAAATGGGGGCGTGCTCCATGTGCTATTCCAACTTGCAAGTAACTAATTGGAGTCCAATCACCTTCTCTCGATTAGCATCTTTAGGAAGAACAACACTAGCAACCACTACTCTAAGCAAATCACCTTTGAAATGCTTCAGAAGCATACAATTCTCCGATGCTCAACCAAGATTTTGGACTACAGTGTTTTGGATGATCTTGTGAAAATATTTGTTCTGGATCTTGAAACCAATGGATTGCAGAAAGAAAGGACATGTTACTGAAATCACGCTAACAGTTGCTTCCAAACCCTGATGAACCCTCAACAACATGCTCCAAATTCTAGCATCAACGGTATAACAACTGACATGGTGACACATTCAGATGTCCCGAGGTTTGCTATTCTTTCACCTCCTTCTACTTTCCCCTTGAAAATTTTAATCTGCGGCTAATAGCGGTTTTACGCAAAAGGCGTCGACACAATTAGTAGTGGAGCCACTCATTATACGTTAGGTTACTTGCGGCAGTTTTACATTCTTCATCAGGAAGAATTGGCAGCAATAACTGGTTAGAATATATTGTGTAGGATGGTGGGAGTTGATTCCGATTCTTTTTAATACATCAGAAGCCGGCAACTACCAGGAGAGACTTTTATTTGCAGCTCACAATGTACGGCGCTTCGATTTGCACTTCTTGATCAGGGAATTCAGCTCCTGCTCGTTCGAAATTCCTCCTGACTGGCAGTTTCTGGACAGTGGACACCCTCGCTCTGGCACGAGTTGAGAGCTATAAACAATGCAAGTTCTTTCACAGACTGCGTAGACAAGTTGGATAGAGCAGTGCGCTCTTCTCTACACCTATGTTCGAAACTCCTCCCTTAGTTTAGATTAGATTAATTAAAATAGCACTCAAAGAAGGAAAAACGAACAGTGGGTTCGAATAATGCTATTGACAGACCAAGGGTTCCTCCAGAGATCTCTCCTGATGGACTTAGTGAGTTGTACAAGATCTCTAGAGAGGGTCCAAAACACAGGGCCATGGCGGATGTCAACTTGCCGTCGTCGATACTTCCAAACATGACTTCTGACCTCAACCTTGGCGTCGCCGACCTTTTGCAGCGGAGTTTCAAGTCTTCTGTCCGCAGTGTTACTTAAGAAGAAGAAGCATGAACAACTTAATCTGCAAGCATAAGTTAATAATCCGTAGTAATGACTGCAAAATAAATACCAAAATCTTTAAAAAAAGTCGTCATACTCAATTTGTCTTCTATATTTCTATAAATGTTCTGGAGAGCTTATAACAACTCCTTTACCCCCAAATTTATGTCCTGAGTCTTTTTTTTTAGTATAACGATATATTTTATACTAAGGGGGTTGGTTAAGTCATGTAATGACAACCTAATTTGGTATCAAATTCGCAATCTACAAGATTCGAACATAAGACCTTTCATTTACAAGTGAAGATGAATATCACCGGACCATAGTACTGACTGACTTGTATACTGAGTCTTAGTTCTCCAACTAAACGAGTCTAGTTTAACCCTTGAATTCTATTTAGCTTAACACTAATGTAAATCAATCTACAAAGAATTGTTTGTGAAGCAAGACGAATCTTATTTATGGCATATTTAGTTGCTTGAAGTCTGAGTAGTCATGAACCGGTATGTGCAAGAGATAAACAATCTCTCTCTTAGTTTATCCCATATCTAATTTTTCAGGTATGCAACGCCCATAGCCGATGTGAGAACGATGTATCTTTTCATTCATTGGTTGTTACTAAACATAACATGAAGTGATGACAATTATATTCACAATTATCTATTCCTTATAACTAAACATATATACTTTAAAGGTTAAGACTTAATTGTAGCAATTATTTTTGAACTTTACCTTTAGTTTAATTTTAGACCCTGAATTCTCATATTGGTTTCTTTAGTCCATGGATTTAACAATGTATTGTACAATTGGTTCTTTCACTAACGTCGTGTATTTTTCCTTAAATTTAGAGGTATATTAGAAATTTTAACTTAAAACTTCAAAAAACAATAGAAAAAACTAAAAAACAAATAAAATTTTATAAATTAATATCTAAATTTTTTGTTTTAACAAATGATATTATCTACAATAAAGTGTGGGGGACTAAGCTAAGACTCACAATGGACTAGCCATAATAATGTGCTTCAAATTCGTTTTTGGTGAGAACCAAACCTAAGACTTCCCACTTATAAATTAAGAAGAATACCACTAGACCAAGGTATTAAGTGACAATTAATGTCTAAAACATTAAACAAATTGAAATTTGAACTTTAAATATGCAAAAATGAAAATGGTTGGACTTTAGCAATTGTAAATACTGGGCAATGCGATTTTAATGTTGGTAGGAAGTTTCTAATATACCTCTAAATGTAATGGAAAAATAGACGACGTTAGCGAAAATAACTAATTGTAAATATATTGTTAAGTTCGAAGACTAAAGAGACTAATATAAGAGTTCGTGATATAAAATTAAACTAGGAATAAGGTTCAAAAACTATTATTACAATTAAGCCTAAAGTTAATATCTCATCCAAATACAATTAACCATTGCCAAACAAGAGTGAAGGAGTGTGCTAAGTCTCACAATGAGCTAGCAATAATGTGGTTCAAATGTGTCTTTGACGAGAGTCGAATCTAAAATTTCTCACTTACAAATGAGTACGAACACTACTAAACTGTGATATTAAGTGACATCTATGACTAAAATTCATCATTTTGTCCTATCTGCCAACAAACGGACGTCGACATTTTAGTTCCAATTTTCCCTGATAGATTACTTTATCAAAACTTCATAACGTGTGAGTGAAGGCGAGATCATGAAAAGCTAAAACCGCGTCATGTCACAAAATCAACCAAGTGGCTTGTAGAGCTTTCATGGAATAGATAGAGTTATATAAATTCATGAATATTGATGGATTTTATATAATAAATTTATAAAATTCAATTTTAATAGAGTTTAACTGATTTGTAGAAATTTTACATAAAACTTTGATTCAATTCTTTTGAAATCTCAGAAAGATGAGACGTTTGTGAATGCTTGAAATACAATACAAAAAAATTTCAATACACTAAAATTCCTCAACTTTTTAAAATTATTTAAAATAAAAGTTCATTAAATATACCTAAAATGTAATAAACTTATTTAAAATCATGTTTAAATACAACCAGATTTTTAAAGGAGTAATACTATTCTTACCATGTAATTGCACCACAATTATATACCATCTTATGTGACATTTGATGTAAACATCTACATCATTTAAATTAATCAGTTTATTCAATTAAAATCAATTTAAAAAACTAACAATTAAATGATTAATTTAAAAAACAATCAAAGAGAAAGAGAAGGAGAAGGAAGTCGTGAAAGATAAGGGGAAGGAAGGAGAAGACTTGAAAGCAGACTCCTCGGAGCTCCAACGACCGATGGGCTATCTGGGTTTTGCTCCTCCTC